TGACGACAGTGCTTCCAGTCCTATGCGACATGGGCATTATCACATACCATGACAAACTGCCGGAGCTTCATTTCCCGTTTCAGATTGTCCACATAGCTTCGCAGCCATTCGAGAGATGCGGGAATTGTGACTATGCCTTGTAGGAGCTTTAACTTATTCTGCTATTTTTAGCTTATTTCTCTTCGCACAGGGAAGATACTAGCCACAATCATGTGACTCTCTAACCACATCATTCAAAACGATAGTGATGTGCATACAATTAATAGACAACTTGGTTTGAACTCTGGCTCATACCATCTAGCCAACTACCACCAGTGTTTTCCCGTGCAATCTTTCTGCTTAACTGTCGTAGTGTATTTTCGGGAGCCCCCAACATATATCATTGGCATACGGACAACATTTGCTTTCCAACATCCAGTAAGAACGACAGGACATAGCTATTTTCGGACTCCGCACCTAGTCAGCGTTCCTACAAATTGGAGACCCCGACGTGAGTTCGTTCTAGCAGATTCAGCTTTCATCATCCATTGAGTTTTGTCCAATTTCGCCGTTCTTTTTATTGCTTTCATGTATGCGAATATGATCGACTAGCAAACTGGGGGGATTAACACCGTATCTACTAGCTGTTTACCAACATTTTGGATACAATATCCTCAGCTTGGTTTTTTCAGGCCGAGTCATTTTTTGGATTTAATCACATACATAGGGATGTCTTAAAAGTTCATTATGTGCTCTCTAAGCTCCCACCTGAATTGTTACTCCTGGCACAGGATTTCCTGAAAACAAGCCACACATATCAGCAACTAAGTTACTTTTTAATTCGCGAGCTTAGCCTTAGTAAGCGTAAGAGAGTGCAACGTCTACTTATAGAAGAAAAGTTAGGCGATCGCACTCCTACGCAACTATTGCGAGCCATGCAAGCTCTGGTAGGTGACAGCCTTCCAGAGAATTCCATCTTTAGGCAGTTATTTTTGCAATGGCTCCATACACACGTACAACAAATACTGGCTAACGCTCATCAGGATACCGACTTGAAAGACCTAGCCCTTAGGGCTGATAAAATAATGGAAATACAAGCGCCCGCGATCTCAATTTCTTCGCCTCCTGTAACTGACGATTCGCTTGTAAATTCTGTGCACTCCTTGCAGCAGCAACTGGCTTCCATTTCCATCACCCGCCGAAACCGTAATTCTCGGTCAGGTCAGCGGCGTAATCGCAGCGCTAGTCGTTCACGTGGCGTTTGTTGGTATCACCGTAGGTTCCGTAACAAAGCTCAGAAATGCATAAAGGCATGTCGATTTTTTATTTCAGGAAACGAACACACCAGCTCGTAATGGCGACGACACAAGCTGGCATATGCGAGCCAAGTCGCCTCTTTTATCTGCGGGGCGTAGGATCTGGCATGCGATTCCTCGTAGACACTGGTGCCCAAGTTAGTGTGGTTCCTCCACGTCCGGAGGGCTTATGGCACTGCTCTGTATACAGCCTGCAGGCGGTAAACGGCACGCCTATCCGAACCTATGGAGAACGGTCTATCACGCTGAACCTTGGTCTCCGTAGGCCTTTCCCTTGGATTTTCATTGTAGCCAAAGTGCTCACTGCCATTCTAGGCCTCGATTTCTTCCAGCATCATGGCATTATTGTCGATCCCAAGCGCTGCCAAATCATTGATGGCCTAACGCAGATATCTCGGGCTGGTTTTAAAGGGTCCATTATGTCTATGAGTCCGCAGCTTGCCCTACCACGAGCCACTCCAAAGTACTTGGATTTGTTACGAGAGTTTAACAGCTTAACAAAGCCCGGATACCAACCCGGTGCTGTCAAACATGAGATAGTCCATAGGACAACGACAACAGGCAGTCCAGTCTACCATCGTCCGCGGCGTTTAGCGCCACATAAACTTTCCGTAGCGTAGGCTGAAATCGACCATATACTACAATTGGGCATGATACGTCCATACAGCAGTACATGGGCATCGACCCTACATTAGGTCCCGAAAAACAAGCCTGGGGATTGCAGAGCTTGTGGGGACTATAGGGGACTAAACGCTATCACCGTCCCAGACAGGTATCCCATTCCGCATCCCCAGGATTTCTCTTCCTCACTATACGGAAAACACGTGTTCCGTAAGATAGATTTAGCACGAGCATTTTACCAAATCCCTGTCCATCCTCAAGATGTTCATAAGACTGCCGTTACCACACCTTTTGGCTTATTTGAGTTCTTGCGAATGCCATTTTGGTCTCCGCAATGCAGCTCAAACATTTCAGCGTTTTATGGATCAGGTTATTCGTGAGCTCGATTTTGTTTTCGTCTATATTGACGATGTCTTGGTTGCAACTTATAACCATGACGAACACTTGCGTCATCTGCGACAACTGTTCGAGCGATTTGCGCATTATGGGGTGGTTATCAATGGCTCCAAGAGTCAGTTTGGTGTTGATACGGTAGACTTTCTTGGTCACCGTGTTTCCTCCGCCGGAATTACACCTCTACCCGACAGAGTGACAACCATCACTGAATACCCTATCCCCGATTCCCTCAAAAGTTACGTCGGTTTGTAGGTATGGTTAACTTCTACAGACGTTTCATCCCACACTGTTCTGAGTTAGCCCAGCCACTTACCGAGCTACCCAAATTAGATGCCAAAGCATTCAGCTTCACAGAATCAGCTAAGCGGGCATTCAGTGATCTAAAACATCAACTAGCAACTGCCACTCTCCTCCTGCATCTTGATTCTAAGGCTCCGTTACAGTTAACGTTGGACGCTTTAGATGCAGCAGTGGGTGGTGTGCTCCAACAGCGACATGGAGGTGAATTGTATCCAAGTGCCTTTTTCTCTAAGAAACGGCAGCCTGCCGAACGACGTTATAGTAAAACAATAAATAAATAAATAAATTGTATATTTACCGACGGACGGTACACGGCCCCATAAGTGGGAGCGATCATGTGTATAGTGAACACGTTTCATAACATTAAATAAAAGTTTCGGATCATGATTACTTTTCCTTGAGTCCTAGACCCGCGCAACTCATATGTAAAATTTACGGATGTTTGTATCGTCAGGAGTAGATAATAAACGAAGGGACTATTAGGCTGCAAGGACACAGGATTTGGTATGGTATGTAATGACATGTAGTGGGTAAGCTAGCTGTAAGCTATTATCAAATGTTTTTTATACCAACTTCTGTCAGTGTTTCTAGTGTTTGCTGTGAGTCAAATATCTTCAGAGCATTTGGTATAGTGAGGAAGGTCTGAAGGAGATTTCGAAAGGTGACATGGCTTGTACACATGCGTATCTGTAGGGGTAGTTTGTTCCACAAATAAGTGTATCTCACTAAGAAGAAATTCGATCGAATTTTATGACTTGAAAGGTTTGTACGTATCAAGTAGCCGCCATTACGTGTGGGGTAGACTGCAGTCTTCCGCAGTTCAAGTGCGGTGCTGTCTGCGTAAATTCGTTGGTTTATAATGTTGTAGAAGAGAACGAGGTTGTTTTTTAAGCGTCTCAGCCAAAGTGGATCCAGCTGCAGTCTTCGACAGCGATCATAATAAGTCAGGTTTGAGCAGCGTCCCATGAGCAGTTTGGTAAATGATCGTTGGACATTTTCTAGAGCCGTTCTGTCTTTCTTTCTCAATTGGCTGTGAAGGATAGTACAATACTCCAGAGTCGGTCGTACGATTGTCTTGAATGATTCAAGTCGTACTTCAGGTAGGGAGAAAGTTCTGGTGATATATCCGCATAGCTGCCTCGCTTTCGCAACCTGATAAAGAACATGTTCGGAGAAATTGAAAGAGTTGGAGTACCTAATTCCTAAGTCCCGAACTGACTCAGACGTTGGGATCACGTTTCCGGCAAGTATAATGGAGCCTTCTGGGATGCGGCATCTGTACCCAAGTACTTGGGATTTCACTGCGGAGAACTTCATTAATAAGCGCTCACTAGCTATATTTAGTGCGGATAGGTCTTCACAGATGTTTCTCAAACACATATGTAGTTGGTCCGGATGAAATGAGTAAACCAGTTTGACATCATCTGCAAACAGAAATGGATGTCCATGTTTGATTGGGTCACATATATTGTTTACATAGATTAAGAAAAGTAGCGGTCCGAGCACACTTCCCTGGAAGACACCGCTGGTTATTGGCTTCGGTGTAGAATGTTGCTGACCGATTTTAACGACCTGAGTTCGACCGTTTAGGTATGAGTCGAACCAGTTAAGCAGCGGATTTCCAATTCCATATGACTCTAGAGCAGACAGCAGTGGCTGGTGTGGCACGCGGTCGAAAGCCTTTTGCATGTCCAACAGAATTATGATAATTGCCATTCCTCTGTCAATCATAGTCGTGATGTGATCGAGAAATTGTAGCTGGCATGTAACGCAGGAGCGTCTTGAGAGAAAGCCGTGCTGTGAAGGGTTGATCAGATCCAGTCTTGTTAGATATTGGACGATGTTCTTCTTGACTATTCGCTCTAGGGCTTTGGAAGCAGCAGAGGTGTGATTTATTGGGCGGTAGCTTGACATTTGATTTCTCGGTCCACCCTTGTGCTTAGGCATTATAATGGATTGCTTCCATTGAGCTGGAAAGCAACCGGTATTGAGTGAAAGTGTGAAAATGTTTAGTAACAATAGTGCGAGGTTTTTTCCTCCGAGTTTTATAACAGTTGGGGAGATGCCATCTGGACCTGGATGAGTTGATGGTTTTATGGCTGCGATGGCACTTTTCACCTCTCTTAACGTCACAGGGATATTGCAGTAGAGTTCGGTCGTTCTTTTTGGAAGTGGAGGATGAAATGGCTGAATGTTGGGGACAAAAGAGGAGGCAAAACTAGAGTTCATGGCCTCGCATATACAGGAGATATCGCGCGTTATTGAACCATCGTCTAGAACCAACGTTTCAATTTCCTGAAGTGGTTTAGGGTTTCTTCTTTTGAGTAGTTGCATCAATGCACGTACTTTCTCAGGATTTCTGAGTACCCGGCTTTCTTCTTTGGTTTTGACTGTTAGGGTTAGACGTTGTAAATATAGTAAGTTCTCGTGTATTTGTAGCAATGTTGCGAAGCTGTTGTTCCTGCTGTATAGCGATTTGAGTTTCTTTAGTTTTATTTTGGCTTTGGACAGAAGCTTGAGTTCACCCCTATGTTCATGGGTATTTCTAATTACTGTAGGTGCTAGTAGATCCACAACAAGGGAAATGTTGTTTATAAACTCATTTGTAGCCACAGTAGGGTTGTGGGTTAGGAATGACGTATTCCAATTCATGGTACCGATAAGTTCATTAAATGCGTTCCAGTCCACACGATGGAGGTTACGAATGGGTTTTAGCATTTTACTTGGTCGTTTAGGTAAATCAATAGTCATATCACAAAACACCGTGTTGTGATCACAGCCAGGCAGTGGATTATCAATGAATGTATAAACGTTTGCGATTCCCATCGTGAATACAAGGTCTAAGGTAGTAGCACTTCTAGTTGGCTCTCTAACATGCTGAGTCCAGCCATTGAAGTGGATACATGCGATAATTTCCTCAATCTCTGCCGTGTTTCTGAGTGTAGGCAGCGTCCAGTTAACATGTGGTAGGTTGAAATCTCCACACATAATTTTGGATTTGTATGTGGTGCTGGAAGCAACATTGATCATATCGATTAGCTTTTGGGTTGCAAATTGTGTAGTTCGGGGCGGCCGATAGATACAACCCACTAGAAGATCAATAGATGGGATCACTAGCCATAGTGTATCTTCTAAGTCAATGAACACAGGTTGATCTGCAGGAATGGCAGTCAGGTTATTTCGAAGATATATGGCACAGCCACCACCACGTTTGTGCGAGCGATCCTTGCGGAAAAGCTTATAGCCTAGGATGTTAAGCTGAGAATCACTAATTTCCGACGTGCACCAAGTTTCAGTGATAAAAACAATATCGGGGGATCTCATAAACATAAGTGTTGAAAGTATATCTAATTTAGGCAAAAGGGAACGTAGGTTAATGACAACAGCTTTGAAAGACATTGTTAACATGGACTGAAAGTGGTGGGTAATGTTTGTTTCATCGTCATTGTATCTGAGAATTGTGTGTTGTGAGGTAGCTGAGGCACACTGAGCTCCAGATCGTACTGGATTGAATGAAGTACATACTCTAGTAGTTTGATTAATCTCTGGTTCATAATCGTACGTGATAGGGGCAGGATTGGTGGGGGAGGAACTGGTGGTGTGCGATAGTCTAAAAAAGGACTGACATCCGTAGTATACAGGGGTGGGGGGATGCTGAAGTCGACGAACTCATTTTGCTTCGGTTTGTATTGTTGCCAATTGAGTAATACAGCGGGTGGTGGTGGGTGAATTTTGACTTGAGGTAGATAGGGGTTGCACCCTCTTAACTGTAAGTCCTTGTGGCCTACCAACTTTTTGTTTGCTAATTCGGTGTCGCATACATAAGGACTTTGCCAGCTTGAGGTCGCGGGATTTGGAAACGTAGTCAGAGGCATTGTGGGTAGGTACTGGGCCGGCTCTCTGCAACTTATCCCGACAACAGTGTCGGTTTTGTATGTATAGGCTTGAGGACGTATACTTTTTCTCAGTTGGCCTAGCTGCACATCCCTGCGCTCTGGTGATGGTTGCTTCAGACTTAATGAGCTTTGAGCGTTTATGGGAGAAATTCTGGCAGGGCGCTTTCCTCTGTTTTTGCCTACGCCTCGGTTGGTCGGAGATAACCTATAGCTTAGTTCATTCGGGTCGGATAGAGATTTATTTTTCGGGCTGCCAACGTTACAGTCTGCTTTTTTGTCTCGCTCATGATAGGTCTCAGGTACAGTTACTGTAAACTGTTGTAAGGGCTCGCAGTTTGGAGAAGGGATAGGGGAGTTGAGTGTGTGGTCAGCTGGCGTCTGCGTCGTTGTATTTTCAGCGTTGTTGGTAGTTTTAGTTTTGGACACATCACTACTGCTATTTGAGATTCTTTCATCAGGCTGCTGAAGACTGAGATGTCCATCATCGCCTATATTAGACGACGCGGTTGACTTGTCTAGGTCGACATTGCTGATGATAGCGTCAGTACTGGCTTCGTTAGTAGGAACATGGGGCATATGATGGGTGGAGGGATTTTGTTTCATTGTTAATCGTCTTTGAAGGGGCGTTTGATCGTGTTTGATAATAATATTTTTAAAATTAGTTTGTGCAGCAACTAGTCTTTTACTGCGTACGAATTTAGATGCGCTCCTATCGTCTGGAAACTGTAAGAGTATCGGACATGTGGTCATGTTTTCCTTTTTCCTCAGTCTGAGGCACTGACAAGAGACTCCATCCATATTGCATGCTTTTAAGAGGGTATTTGTTACCCTGTCGATGTTCGGTTTATCAGGCACGTTAAAAATGATAACGTTATGCGACCTACGGAGGCGTTCTTGCGTTTCGGATGTAACTGAGTCTAGTAAGGAAGCAGCTGTGCTCAAACGGTCCAGTGTAACAGTTTCTGAGCCTCTAAGCAGTTCACAGAATGATAGGACTTGTTCATAGCATGTGCTGAATTCATGAAGCTTGCATTTCAGCGTGGCTATTTCTTCCTCAAGGGCTATAATCCGGTCTGTCGTGTCAGTCGGAATTATGGTAGTAAAGTTGGAGTGGTTTGCAACTAAATCGACTTTTTTTGGGATTTAGATGATGGACATCCCTTTTTTACAGTAATATCGGTTGGGTTTCTATCCGTGCTATCAGATGATTTTATAGTCTTTTCTGTTTTCAACTTCTGCCTGAGGAGGGCGCTTCTCGTTTTCACATTATTAACAGGCATTTCTAGTGGGTACTCGTAAAAATGTTATGGTGCTGAGTGTAGGTCTAATAAGTGTTGAATAGAAATACAACTGCAGAGGGACGAGAAAAAAAGGTGCAGTTTTTACTACTATAAGTATTATAAGTGGTGCAAACCAACCGGTTTAAATTCCGGGTTGTTTTCGCTGATGGGGCAGTTCTTTGATTTCTCTGTCACCTGCACGGTTTGTTCGTTAGTCTTGTTTGTTCGTCTATGTGCAATGGTCTATGGAGTACGCTCCCGGGCGGGTGGTAGATGACAATCTGACGTTTAGGTGATTCGCTCCCACGATGTGACACGCACTCAAGGTCGAGTGGCTTTGGGGTGAGAGAAAGCTCGCGTCTATTGATCGATGCCGTTTTGGGTCGGTTGTCGGTGCGATGTAGTCCGCGCCGTGGAGCTTGGGTCCGATAGTGGGAAATCCGATTTGCTGGTCGTATTAGGAAATGTGGCTCAAAGTACCACCAATAGTTGTAGATTGCGATGGTATGGAGCTGACCAAGTGGTTGTTGAATAGAGCTGATAATTCCGAGCCGAATGATTGGAATTTGGTTGATGTACGTTGAGATGTGTAAGGAAAAGTCCACTGCAGAGTGGAGCACGGAGTGATTTGAAAGGTTTTGCAGAGTTTTTGTAAGAACCGTCAGATGTCCTTCAGAACTTGTTCCGATTTTGGAAAGAGGACGCAAAACGGGATTAAATGGTATGTAATAGTCCGCGATCCGTTGAGAATGCACGTAGAAATCAAGCAAAGTGTCAGAACTTCGCTTTTACGTCTGCCGTCTGCCGTCTGCCAAACGTTCAGCAGAGAACTCCTAACAATTTATCTCAATGTGCGTCATTTCCGACATTACTTGGAAGGGCGTACATTCACGATATTCACCGATCACAAGCCGCTAACGTATGTACTGCGTTCTGCTTCTGATCTACTTTCCCCACGAGAAACTAGACAACTAGATTATATATCCCAATTTACTTCCGACATTCGGCATTTGTCCGGTGTGAACAACACCGTAGCAGATGCCCTATCACGGGCGGAAATCAATACCCTCCTTGAGCATTCCCCCATTGATCTTCTAGAACTAGCCACAACACAGCATCAGGATTAGCAGTTTCTTCAACAACTGCGCGAAACCAATCTACAGGTGAAACCCATCCAGCTGCCTGATAGTTCGGATGTTCTGATGTGTGACGTTTCTAAAGGAAAGACGCGACCTGTAGTTCCACCGACCTATCGGCGAATCATTTTTGATTCACTACATGGTCTATCACATCCAGGCATCCATGCGATGCGCAAACTCATTTCCGACCGTTTTGTGTGGCCGGCACTGAACAAAGACGTGCAGACCATGGTGAGGAATTGTCTCCCATGTCAACGTTCAAAAGTGCACCACCATACACAAGCACCTCTTGGTGAGTTTACCGACCCAGATGCTCGTTTTAGTCACGTGCACATCGACACCGTCGGTCAGCTGCGGCCGTCGGGTGGATTTAAGTACCTACTTACTTGTAACGATCGTTACACTCGTTGGCCCGTAGCAGTACCCATCGCGTACATTTCCGCAGAGACGGTAGCACGTAACTTTGTGGCTCATTGGATCGCACATTATGGTGTCCCTTCCACCATAATAACGGATCGCGGTGCGCAATTTGAATCAACTCTCTTTCGAGACCTCACTGCTATCCTCGGAGCTAAACGAATAAGAACAACTGCCTACCATCCAACAGCGAACGAGTTAGTCGAACGTTTTCACCGCCACCTCAAAACATCTTTGATGACATGTTCTGACACTACCCGTTGGACAGAAAACTTACCGCTGATTCTATTAGGTCTACGAACGACGTTTAAAGCTGATTTAAGTTGCTCTGCCGCGGAGCTGGTATACGGTACCACGCTATAGCTCCCGGCTGACCTCGTTCAACTAATCGACGTCAACGCTCTAGATCCCTCAAACTTTGTTCATCGCTTACGTTCATCCATGCGTAAACTGCATTTTACTGCCACACGCGCACAAACTAACAAGTGTTACATACCAAAAGATCTGACAACTTGTTCACATGTGTGGCTACGAACCAATGCAGTCCGCAGGCCTCTACAGCCGCCGTACGAAAGGCCATTTGAGTTGATCGCTAGAACAGCAAAACATCATATGATCAACAGGAATGGTAAAGTCGATGTAGTTTCAGTAGACCGACTCAAGCCAGGGTATATCGAACAACCTTGTGAACAAAAATCGACAGGTTCTAAAAACACCATATATACGCAGGAGTCATCAAAGCACTTTAAAAATGATCCTCAATCATCAACATCAGAAGCTAAGCCAAAAGAGACTAGTACGTGGCAAACACATCAGGTAGAAAAGTTCATTTTCCAGACCGTCTAGCGTATTAGACACCTTGAGAAAAACAACCGGTTGTGCTGTCTATCGTGTTATACTACCTGTTGCCAGTTTTCTGCTTGTTGCTTTCTAGCGTTTGCCAGGAGAGGAAAGAACACCATTAGCACCAATAAGTACATTCTCATGTCGACAAAGGACAGAAGGATTGCGTCGGACAACACCTGCAACTTAAACATTCTTGTTGCACTACAACATTCTGCTCCCACCTTTTCACTGTATCTTAGCTAACAACTTTACCTGCATGCCTCCTGTGCCTCTGCCTCGTGCATTTTAAGCGACACTGTATCAGGTAGAGGTCACTTTTCCCGGCAATTCTCAATGGGTTTTTTACTCCTGGTCGCTTATCACCGTGCGGCTACCGCACTGGTGGGGAGGTATGTAGGAGCTTTAACTTACACTACACTATCCAAAGAAATCACTGCGTAAACCTGGTACGCGAAGATAAAATACAGCACCAACAGAGTCTAGCCGCGAAACTCCTTTCAAACCCCTGTACAGACACATTAACAAGCTCCGCAAAGTGCAGCGAGGAATTCCTGCTTTACACACATTGTATGGACTTGCACAAAACGCAACTGAGGCGGCCAACACCCTATGTCAGCAATTCACCCCGAACTTCCAGAGCACGACATCGCCGCATATACTGTTCCCAATCGCGGTAGTGCAGGAAGATCTAGGCTGTTCCCGTCAGACCGAGAAAGCCTCCAAAAAATCTAACCAAAACATTGGTCTTTTGCGGAGGGCATTCGGGAGCTTCGATCCTTCCATCTTTTCTCAGAAGCTCAACGCTTACATTCAGCCTTATTCTGAGTACGCCATCCACGCTTGGCAGCTATGGCAAAAGCAAGACGTTACCGCCCTTGAACCGCCACAACGAAGGGCGACCAAGAACGTAAAGGGCATTTTTCATCTCCCTTACCGATTGAGGTTGAAAACCCTCGGGGTCTACAGTGGACAACATCGACGCTGCGTGGCGACTTGATAATGACTTACATGATCCTGAGGAATCCAAACCATTGTTGTCGTCACCTACTAAAGCTGAATAGAAATACAACACTCAGAGGACGTCAGATAAAGCTAACCACACAATACAGCGTGTTGAAATGCCACCGAAATTTCTTTGCCCTTCGTGTGTGTAAGCACTGGAACGCTCTTCCCACATACGTTGTTTCTTCCTCCACGCTAACGGTACTCAAAATACGTCTGGATGATTCGCTTATCCGCCTACATTACGCTATATAATCAAAAATGTCCACGTCAAACAAACGCGAGAAAAACTGTGCGCATTCTCCGCTTTTGTGCTTTACTATTTACACACTGCTAATGTGGAATATAGATTCGGATATATCACAACTGCATTCATCAGTTTACCCCAGTCCAAGAAAGCGGCGCACGATTAAGCGTTGGTCGTTTCTCTTGTTCTTAAGGCATGCCTTACCCATATTAATTCCCATACTACTCTACAGTAAAAATTCAGTACACATTCTGCAATCTTTCTATGAATAAGGGGCACTTGAATTCACTAGACGCTTAAATTGACGATTTACACTTTTGTTTATTTCACTTCAACCATCCTACGGGACTTGTAAAGCAATCGCTTTTTTACCTGTAATATATCATTGTTCATTGTTGATTATTCTTCTATTTTTAGCTTATTTCTCTTCGCACAGGGAACATACTAGCCACAATCACGTGACTCTCTAACCACATCATTCAAAACGATAGTGATGTGCATACAATTAATAGACAACTTGGTTCGAACTCTGGCTCATACCATCTAGCCAACTACCACCAGTGTTTTCCCGTGCAATCTTTCTGCTTAACTGTCGTAGTGTATTTTCGGGAGCCCCCAACATATATCATTGGCATACGGACAACATTTTCTTTCCAACATCCAGTAAGAACGACAGGACATAGCTATTTTCGGACTCCGCACCTAGTCAGCGCTCCTACAGACTCTCCGGGTGGTCATTGACACTTAACCTTCTATTGTGCGTGCACCGATCAAATGCAAATTGAGGCCTCCACTGTTGGCAACTTTGCAACAAGCCGTCACTCCTCTGAAGCCCGTTTATGAGTATGCTCGCAGTACACGTTGAAGTTCGCTTCGTCAACCCAAATGAAGAACGTGCCATCGCTCTCATGTTGGAGAACCTGATGAACAAATTCGATGTGTATCCCATTGGTTCACTCGTTCTTCATTCCCTCGGGAAACTGATGGAGGTTCTTCATAGTTATCAACCAACCATCTAGGTGCCGTGCGTTTGTTGACTTCGAAATGTCCTTGTCCATTTCTGCTCGTCCTCGTACTCGCATTTTCCGTATCGTAAGAGTTGCGTCCCATGCGATCCAATCCAGGATGTCGCCTACGTCTTCCTCCGACAGCATCCGCTTACGACCGCGCGCTTGCGTAGTACTCGGCTCCTGATCATTAGAACGAGGAATCCAGGAGTAAGCTGTTTGATATTTGATGTCCTTCACATTTGCTGTCAGCTGCCAGTCATCACCGTTGACGAAGGCGCTCAAAACTCGGTCATGAAGTTCTGACGAGATACCCTGTCGAACGCGAGAAAGCATGCCGACGAGGTTA